GTTAAATCATTATAGCAATGCCGTACACTGTGTTTTAACTGCTCATCAGCATTAGACTGCTGTTAACTACGGTATGTTTAAAAAGAGGCAGCCAATGGGGGAGGTTTGGATAAGGATAGATTATGGTGTATTTCTTTGATACCCCTGTCATGATTAATGTAATGGATAGATCTCCTGAAATATCCATCTGTATGACTTTTCACGTTCTGTTCAGAAAATTATGAGCAGCCGAAAGATGGATCAAGCATAAAATGCACATTTAAACATTTACACAGCCATGTCCTCGTGTGCAAACTTATGGTCCCAACTTTTAATTATAAGCAGAGATAAGCAAATAGGACCAGAGGTATATTAACAAATGATGCAAATGAAAAGCAAGAATATGTGCTAACATTTCAGAGTATGAAGAATGGGGGAGACATGTATAACCCATTTTACGTAAATAGCTTGAGGTCTTTTGTGCAACAGACATATTAGAGTACAGTGTAGTTACACAAAAGTACAGGATGAGAAAAACATATATATTGCATTGAGTTAAATACATAAAAGTTTTTAGTACTCCTGCATCAAAAACATGTGTGTATCACTAGACCCGTTTGCGGTGTGCATAGTGGATGTCTTAGGCACCAGATGGTTGTCCACAGTCTATGGGGATCATGTGTCATCTCTGTGTTATCCACTCCTCAAGTATATTACCGGTCTGGGTATATCCCTGTCCGGTATGTATGAGAAAGAGAAGAAAAAGAGAAGATGAAGAAGAGATCAGCAGAAAATGGGGTTTGCTGAGAGAAAAGAGGTGTGGGGTGGCACCCAGACACCCCCCAACCGGGGACTATTAGACCTGCATTAGTTGTTAGGCTAAGTCGACTCGTTGAGGAAAAACTCCCATGGCTCCCACACCTTAGTGAAGGTTTTTAGCATTCCTCTTATTTGGGTGATCAATTTGTCCATTAAGTACGTATTTTTAAGTTTTAGTAATACCATGTCAACGTATGGGACCTCTGACCATTTGTAGGTAGTGTCTGCTGAAGATCACAAACCTCAAGAACTTTCTATGTTTGAGGGCAATAGTGATGTCATGTGAACGAATATATTCGAAGCTCGGACTTTTCACCAGTGGGGTACCTCAGGGATCTGTACTTGGACCCATTATCTTTAATATTTTTATTAGTGATATTGCAGAAGGTCTTGATGGTAAGGTATGTCTTTTTGCTGATGATACTAAGATATGTAACAGGGTTGATGTTCCAAGAGGGATAAGCCAAATGGCAAATGATTTAGGTAAACTAGAAAAATGGTCAGAATTGTGGCAACTGACATTTAATGTGGATAATGCATCTTGGTCGTAAAAACCCAGGGGCAGAGTACAGAATATTTGATAGAGTCCTAACCTCAACATCTGAGGAAAGGAATTTAGGGGTGATTATTTCTGATGATAAAGGTAGGCAGACAATGTAATAGAGCAGCAGGAAATGCTAGCTGAATGCTTAGTTGTATAGGGAGAGGTATTAGCAGTAGAAAGAGGGAAGTGCTCATGCCATTGTACAGAACACTGGTGAGATCTCACTTGGAGTATTGTACACAGTACTGGAGACCATATCTTCAGAAGAATATTGATACCTTAGAGAGAGTTCAGAGAAGGGCTACTAAACTGGTTCATGGATTGCCGGATAAAACTTACCAGGAAAGGTTAAAGGATCTTAACATGTATAGCTTGGAGGAAAGACGAGACAGGAGGGATATGATAGAAACATTTAAATACATAAAGGGAATCAACACCCTAAAGGAGGAGACTATATTTAAAAGAAGAAAAACTACCACAACAAGAGGACATAGTCTTAAATTAGAGGGGTAAAGGTTTAAAAATAATATCAGGAAGTATTACTCTACTGAGAGGGTAGTAGATGCATGGAATAGCCTTCCAGCTGAAGTGGTAGAGGTTAACACAGTAAAGGAGTTTAAGCATGCGTGGGATAGGCATAAGGCTATCCTAACTATAAGATAAGACTAGGGACTAATGAAAGTATTTAGAAAAGTGGGCAGACTAGATGGGCCGAATGGTTCTTATCTGCCGTCACATTCTATGTTTCTAGGGCAATTTTGTGAATCAGTTTTTGTTCTGGTTCTGTATGAATTTTCGGCGATGTCCCTGACCTGTATGTACCAGAAGTAGTCTGACGTTGTTAGTCTTGTTCTATTTTTAAGTTCATCGTATGGGATGATGTTGTCACCTATGTACATTTGGTAAATTCTTTGGAGACCCGCATATTCAATCCCTTTAAAGTCTCTAGGTCTCATTCCGGGTAGGAATGCTCTGTTGCGTAGTATGGACATCATGGTGGATTGTGGTTTTGTGAGGTCGTATTTCTGGATGCACCTGTCCCACACCCAGAAGAAGGAGAGTATAGCTGGACGGTCCGTTCTCAAGAATGCTCTATGGTCTCTGGGGAACCACATATAGAATTGTGGAAGGTTGGCTCCCATCAGCAGTGACTCTAAATCTACCCATCTACGTTCGTCAGTCAGTTAGTGCCACAGTGTGATTTGCGCCAGTTGCGCCGCTATAAAATAATAGTGTAATTGTGGGAGGCCGAGTCCGCCTGCCAATTTAGGGCAATATAGAATGTTACGTGCCACTCTATGCCTTTTTTTCCCTGCCATACAAAATTGTCGATAACCTTTTGGAGCGGGATTAAATCTTTCTTAGTCCGGTATATGGGTAAAGCTTGAAACAGGAATAATATACGCGGGAGTTCATGAGATTTATATGTCCACCCCTCCATGTCCTCTATTAGTGTCTTGAACATGGTGGTGTAATTAAGGTGAAATAGTTTTGTGGGGTCAGCCGGAAGCCTTATCCCAAGGTATTTAAAGGAGTCATGGGCTAGTTGGACCCGATAGGTATCCCTTACAAGTGCCGTGTCTGCCACATAGAGAGCTATCGGGAGTGCGCTAGATTTCCCGATATATACTTTGTATCTGGAGAGTGCCCTATAGTCAGTTAAAATATTCGATAGGGTTTGCAGTGAATCGACTGGTTGTGTCAGCGTGAGAAGGATGAAATCTGCGTAGCCAGAAGCTCTAAACTGTTGTTCTACGATATTTACGCCTCTAATTTCAGGGTTGTCGCTAATAGTCTTGAGTAGGGGCTCCAATGTTAGGATAAACAATAAGGGCGAGAGGGGGCAACCCTGTCCAGTTCCATTGCTCAAGGGGAAGGGCTTAGTGCCTATGATTTTTATTTGTGCTGCTGTAATCGTGTACAGTGCTCTCACTGCCATGACGTAGGAGTCTGGAAAACCCAAGTGCTCTAGAAGAGTAAACATGAAGGGCCATAAGACTCTGTCGAACGCCTTCTCCGGCATCAAGAGACAGCAACAGAGAAGGCGTTCAAGACGTTGTTAGTTTCCAAATTAGGTCACTGTTTCGTCCTGGGACAAAACCCACTTGATCAGCGTTTATCAGGCGTCCTAAGAATGGGTTGAGTAGCTCCGCTAGTATTTTAGTGAATAATTTTGCATTGTGGTTGAGTAATGAAATTGGTCTATATGCTTCTGGTAGCATGTGATCCTTACCTGGTTAGCTAGGGCCATGTCATGATTTGGCGCACCGCCCGTTCTGAGTTTGTTGAAGAGAGATTCTAACTGTGGTGTCAGTTCCTCTCTACACACTTTATAATATCCCCCATCAAAGCCATCTGGCCCTGTGGTTTTATTGCTCTTGAGGGCAAAAATTGCCCGGTCTATTTCTTCTTGCGTAATCAGGGCTTCTAGGGACAAT